TCATTGTTGTTTGGCAGGCCCGGGCTGGGGATTCAAACCCGCCACCTTAGGTGTATGTGGCTGGCGCCTTAGCCGCTTGAGCCACAGGCACCGAGCCAGAACCTCAGTTCTTGCCACCAAATTATCCCACCTTTCCTCTCGTCTCCCATGCTATAACACAAAGGCAGATCCTCTGCATCTCTCCAGAAAGACACCTGTCTTCTACCCAAAGCACACAAAACACTGAGAAGTCCTTCACACTGTCTGACCTTCAAAGGCCCTATTATTTATAAGCTTCTTCTCCCTGCTTCAACCCCAAAACTGTGTGAGTAGGATGGGAGAAGGGCCTCCTAGGGACGGGGAAAAGCCCACACATGCCATCTGGGGCAAGAAGACAAAGGAACACCCCAGAGACTTCCCCTCACAAACTTGGTGGGGGGGACACATCTCTGCAGACAACAGGACAGACACAGTATGAGGCACCCGGGGCTGGAGTTTATTGCAGAAGAACAGATAGACACAGAGATTCAGAGAGATGAGGAGAAGGGTGAACTGTGGGGTCTGTGCTCATAATCCTATGGGGGAGGGGAGGAATAGGAGGCAGAAGTCCGGATGGGGTCCGACAGATGGTGGAGGGCCCGGCCTGACAGCAGAGAAGCCGCAAGGAGTGATGCCCCGAGCCAATTTGCTCGCCATTCTTCAGAGTGATGGCTCCGGAGACACTGGGCGATGTCATTAAGAGGGAGCCCGGGCCCACTCAGAGATGGCGCATTCACCGCATGGAGCACCAGGGTCTCGAAGGCTGATGGTTCGGATTGGGGTGGAAAGGAGGGTTACCCGAGTCCTCATCCCCCCGCGGCCTCCAGAGTCTCTCCGGACATCTGACGGCTTGGGCCGCGGCTAGGGTCGCTGTGGCGGCGACGGCGGCTTGGCGGCAGGTGGAGCTGGGGTCTCGGCTCTCCAGGGGCTCCCAGGAGGCAGGAGATGGAGGCAGCGGCAGGCGCTGGGGCAGGCGGCGCGCCAGGGCGGGAGGCACACGGAAGGGATGGCGAGCTGGGCAGCGGACCCGCAGGGACCGCTGGGGGCCTCGTGGGGACCCAGATGAGACCGTAGTACACCGCGAGCAGCACGGCGGCCAGCGATACGCAGAGGAAGTAGGCGCAGACCGGAGCGAGGCGCAGCCAGCGGCCTCGCGGGCCCTCGCTCAGCCCGGCGCTGCCAGGGCTCTCGCCGCCACCTCCCACGCAGCTCGTGCCCCTCATCCCCACAGCCCACTCCGCCAGGCTCCGCTGCCCGAACAGGCCCCACCCCCGCCCCGCCTTGCGTTCCAAATCACCCTCCTCCGACTCCGCCCCCCATCAGGCATGGTCAGACCCGGTAACGGAGGGCCTCCTTCTGGATATAGGCCCGCCCTCTCTGGCCAACCACTACCAAGAGGCCTTCTAATCTTGCCTCCTCTCGCCCTAACACAGTCCTCTTTCCGGACATGAACTTCGTCCAAGCATCAAGCTCTACCTCCAAGCACATCCCCTTTCTAGGTTTAAGCCTCATCCCTCCTTTAGCCTCATCTGCGTCTCAGTTTTCTCTCTACAAATACGTCTACTCCAGCAACCGAACTACCCTCTTTCTCCTCTGGCCTCAACGCACTCCAGCCCGAGCTCAACCCCTTTCCTCCACACTGCCCAAGCCTCAGCTCAGCATTCTGACCATACCCCACCGGGGGCCCCGCCTCACCAGTTAGAAGCCCCGAGCCAAGCGCAGGCATAGCCCCGCCCCCACACTCTCACCCCACCCCATGTTCTAGATCCACCTACCAAAATTCTGGCCCCTCCCAAGCATCCTAACCCCGCCCCTAGTGGGACCTGCTGCAGACTCGCGCACTCCTTCAGCTGCCCTCTCAGGCGTTCTGAGTTCTAACCCACGTCCTTAAGTTCCAGCTCCGCCCCTCATCCCAATCGCTCCCCTGACCCTAGCTCCTCCCCCACCACCTTTAATCTCTCTCTCCCTAGAGCCAAGGGGTTCTGAGTGGGCACTGGGGAGAATACAGGCTGGAAATCCAGATAACCCTCTCGTGACGCCCCCTCCCCATCAAGGCGGGGAAGCTTCAGTCCCCTCCCAGCAGCGTCTTCAGGATTTCGGAGAGGCCTGCGGGAGGGGGAAGACGTATCAGGGAGGTAAAGAATGGAAGACCCCTTTCCTCCCGCCTCTTCCGCCACGGAAAAGCCCGCCAAGCACAGCAACCCAGCCCGCCCCCCGCCAGAAACACAGTTCAAGGGTTAGCGGAAGCACTGCATTTAATAAAGACAGGGCGGACGCCCAAGAAATTGAAGCCCTTGGGAAGAGTTATCAGCTATTTGCCATGCCCCAGATGTAAGCTCCTAGAGGCGGGAAATTAGGCCTGGGGACTGGCACCTTGCCCCTCACGGCCTCCATGGGAGGCTAACAAGGAGGCGATGTCCCCCATTTGTAGGGCCTGGACCGAGTCTTCACAATTTAGACTATTGCCCTGGTCCCACCCAGTTCAGTGACCCTGGCTCCTCCCCCCTTACATTTAACCCTCTCCTGGCTGGAGTGTGGCAGAAGCAGAGGACAGAGGAGCGAGGCAGGTTAGTGCAGAGTGCGGAGCGCGTTGGTTCGGCGGGCGCGGTCAGCGAGCAGCCCCCGGTGGCGGAGCGACCGCCACCACCTTGCTGAAACGCACCCTCTGGAAGTCAGTGATCTCCGCCGTCTCCTGGCCCTCCGGGCCGGCCTCTGGGGAAAAAAATAAGAGGATCAGGAAAAGGGAACAATCTTCCCACCACCCCTGGTCCCAGGACCTCCCGCCCCCCTCCCTAGCCACGCCCCCCATGCCAGTGGAGTCTGTCCGCAGGTGGCCCCCCTAAGTGGTTTATAGGCCTCAGACTCCTTTAATCCTCACTGGATTCCCCTGAGCAGAATACACTATCAAGGTAACCCTGTTTACAACAGAGGAAACCCTGAGGTAAGGAAACCACAGTCACCAACCAAAATGGCCAAAGATAGGCTGGGTGCTGTGGCTCACGCCTATAAATCCTAACTCTCTGAGAGGCCGAGGCTGGTGGATCGCCTGAGCTCAGGAGTTCCAGAACAGCCTAAGCAAGAACGAGAACCCGTCTCTAAAAAACAAAAAAAATGCCTGTAGTCCCAGCTACTTGGGAGGCTGAGGCAAGAGAATCGCTTAAGCCCGAGTTTGCGGTTGCTGTGAGCTGTGACGCCAGAGCACCCAGGGCGAGAGACTCTGCCTCCCCAAATAATAATAATAGTAATACAGTGGTTGGGCCGCAGCCCACAGGTCGACGCAAGACATCCCCTCAGATCCCAGTCCCAGCTGCATCTCACAGTCCTAGCCAACCTCCATCAAGCAAGCCCTAGTCACCCGCCCTCCCCTTTTCTTCCCCACCACCTGACATTATCTATTATCTAACCAGTCCCTCCTTGGTGTGGACGGTCCCTGGTTCAAAATCTGGCTCCTGCCCACTGGATATGGGGTTAAGGGGTTCCCTTCTTGCTCCCATTCTGTTGGTCCCAAAATTCAAATCAATCCACATTTCTAATTTACCCACCACCTCAAAACCCTAATCTCACTCACAGTTAAATCCATCCCACCCTTTTTTTACTGTTACCAGCCAGTTAAATTTCAAAGTCTGCCTCTAGTTCCTCCCCTAGTAGCTAGGTCCACCCTGTTACCTGTATCTTGCTTCCCAAAAGCCCTAGCACTTTTTTTTCTTCTTTTGAGATAGGGTCTCGCTCTGTGGGGCATCATTGTAGCTCACAGCAACCTCAAGCAATCCTGCTGCTTCAGCCTCCCAGTAGCTGACAGGTGCCTATCACTACATCCAGCTGATTTTTCTATTTTTTATAGACATGGGGTCTTGCTCTTGTACAAGCTGACCTCTTAATTCTAATGCCATCCTCCTCTACCTCCTATGTCCACCACTTAGCTCCAGCTTTCACAGCAACCCCACCCTCAGCCTAGCCCAGCACTCTGACCCCACCCCTGGTCCAAATGTTATCGCCATATGTTGCTGGAGGAGACTCCACCCTTCCCCATCCTACTTGCCCAAACTCTTCTGCCTCACAGAAGAGGAAGGTGGCCAGTTCCACCTCCCTCCACTCCATGTACCCCACCTGGAGTTGCCTCAGAACCCTTCTCTTCAGCTTTCTGGGCTCCTGTAAGGCTGGGCCCACTCTCCAGGGAGGCAAGGGCTGGCTGGTCACCTCCTGCGAAAGTGGAGGCCCAGTTAAGCCCCTCTCCCTCCCCACCCTGAGAGGAGGTAAGGGGAGTTAGAGGGGCTAATGGACACACTTCAGGGAATGTCATTTGATGATGTGAATTCTTTTATTGGGGAGAGGGCTCTGAATGGCCTGGGCCAAGCTCTGGAGTGAGCATTCCAGAGATAGAGGCATGACAGTACTGAGAGGGCATGAACTGCCCTCCCCAGCTGCCAGTGTTGTGGGGCCCAGCCCCCAAGCTCCCACTTCCGCCACCAGCCACACCCCTAGAACACGTGCACACAGCCAGCCAGCTTCATGCATTCCCAAAAGGCCAGGCCTCACCCGATGAGAGGGCGCCAGCCGGGTGGGCAGTCCGGGGAGAATTCAGCTCCATCTCTTCACCCCAGTCAGACACAGGCTGGTGGCCACCAGGTGGTGAGAAGGGGCTGGAAGGTGTGGCAGGGGCCTGGGGAAGGGGCAGGGGCTCCTGGGGCCTGGAGGGCCCGCTGTTGGCCTGCTCACTGGTAGGGTCCCTGGTGGGGTCAGCCTCTTGGGATTGGTCATCTTGGGCTGGTTCTTCATCACCCTCTTCTTCCTCTTCAACATCATCTTCCTCATCCTCATCCTCACTCACATCCTCCCACTCTTCATCATCCCCCTCATCATCCTCCCCTTCATCCTCAGGAGGCCGATGGGCAGGGATGGGGGTCTCAGGTGGCTGTGGGAATAGGGCAGGTCAGGGAGGCTTGGCCCCCAGCACCTCCACACACACCTGCCCCAACAGTAGCCCTCCCTCACCTGTGTGGGCATCTCATTGGGGGAAGTAGGCTGTGGGGCCTCAGAGGCTGGGGACACTGCCTCCTCTTTCATCTCCCAGCGGTCATCATGGTCACTGGAGGGGACAGAGAAAAGGGGTGAGGAAGGGCCTTCTTACCTTCCACTTCTCCCCATGAGGGGGGACAGAAAAGACTCAACATGTTGGAATACTGAGGGAGTGGTGAACTATGTTCCCAAGTGTCAGGGAAGAAAGATAAAAGGGGAGGTCAGGTGGCAGAAAGGGAGACGAGTGGGAGGGGAAAAGGGAACAGATAAGGGTAAAGCCAAGAGCCATACCCCAATACCCTAAAACCAAGTCCCTAGGGATAGCCAAGGTCAAGACAGGAACAGACAAATGGACCCATATATTTACAGGCCAGTCAGAGAACAACCTGTGGACAGCCTGGGAGGGTAAACCTCCCGGGCAAGGAGGCCCCCACCTGTAGGCACGGGGGACTGCCTTGGCCCGGGGTCGGCTGTTCTTCCTTCTCCTGCGGTTGCTGACTTCAGCTTTGTGCTGGGATAAGAACTCCCCGAAAGTTGGGGGCTTCGGGGGTCGGGCCCAGGCCTGGTCATCTGCAATAGAACCCAGGATGAGTGGGGGGGGGGTTCACAACACACCAGACTTTCTACCCCCAGGCCAGACCTCCTACCATATGGCTGCCGCCTCCCACCAAAAGTAACCCACTCACCATATCGGTGAGATGGCTCATGGCCAGGGGTGGGGCCATCCTTGAACCTGCAAAGAGAGAAAGGGTGAGAAAGTGGGGGTAAGCAGACAAGGAAACAGGGAGCAGGAGAGTGAAGAGAAAGCAGGGGAGGGATCAGGGTCAGCAATCATATCAGAAGGACAGATGGTCAGGCAGACAGAGGACACTAAATTAGACATGGGACAAGACCAGGTAGTGACAAACAGAAAGAAAAAAGATTCAGAATTTGGCCCCAAAAACAAAAACTTGAGGGAGGGTACCACAGACCCTTGGGTAAGTACATGACCCCCAGCTCCTGGCTGACCTCGTACCCTGTCACTACCTCACCTCTCAGCTAAGCAGTCTCTCCTGCCACACCTATCTTCCACCTCAGGGGCCTTGCACCTGCTGCTCCCAAACATTCCTGCCCAGATCTTTCAGCAGCTTGGTGAAGCTTGTTGCCTCACCTTGGAGAATTTCCTAAGCCCTCCTCTACAATAATATTACAGGCCAGAAACAGTGGCTCACACCTGTAATCCTAGCACTCTGGGAAGATCACTTGAGCTCAGGAGTTCCAGACTAGCATTAGCAAGACCATCCAGAGCAAAAGTAAGACCCTGTCTGTATTAAAAATACTTAAAAATACAAAAAGTAGGCCGGGCACGGTGGCTCACATCTATAATCCCAGCACTCTAGGAGGCCAAGGCGGGTGGACTCCCTTAGCTCATGGGTTCGAGACCAGCCTGAGCAAGAGCAAGAGCCTGTCTCTAAAAATAGCCGGTTGTTGTGGCTGGTGCCTGTAGTCCCAGATACTTGGGAGGCTGAGGCAAGAGAATCGCTTGAGCCCAAGCATTTGAGGTTGCTGTGAGCTGTGA